GACAATAGATGGATGTAGCTGGTTCCCACTGGTTTCTGCCTATTCTGTGCTGATGGCACTGCTGGACATCTTCCGATGTTGAAGGGAATTAAGCATGATTTGTCTTTCATCTGCTGCTTTTATTTGCTTTCCTTGGCCAACCACTGCATCTTTAGTCCTCAATGTTGCCCATTTATTTGTGCTTCTTCAAAAGAGCTTGAACAGCACATCTTGGATCCCAAGTTTGCTTTGAAATCTTGGCCTGGGAAGGAACTTGCTGATGCAGTATAACTACCTTTTGTCTTGTTGCTGTGCTCAGTATTGCCATGGTGTATGACCTGTGACATGAAGCTGTCTTCCACAACCTCACCTTTGGCTGTTGTTCATCCTGTTTTAGGCCTGTTAATGACTGTGTTTAAACCTACATATGAAATTAATGATCATTATCCCCTGCCTGGTATAATTGGTTAATTATACACCTAACTCTACTCCTACACAGTGGCATTGCTATGGGGGTGCGGGGGGGGTACAGACCACACCCAGATGACACCCACCAGACCGGTGACATCCAGAGCCAGATAAACATAGGGGCACAACAGATCCTACTGTTCTTGCTGCTCAGCGTCCCTAGGAACAGCTGGTTGTTAAGGCTCCACGCTGAGCACCTGACAGCCAGGCAGCCAATAGACAACTTCCACAGAAAAATGGGAGGTGGCGTACTGTGATTGGCAGCAGCACGAGCCATGGAGAGCACGGGCAGATCCAGAGTTCTACAATGATGCTTCTCCTTGGATGCAGCAGAACTAGCAAGCTGGTAACGTGACGGAGAATCTGAAAGAGGTGCGCAAACTTAAGAGAGAAACAGACAGGAGCATCACAGGAGGGGTCTATAAGAATGACAAGCAGGTGGACAGAGAGACATAGAGGGAGCACTGAGAACAATGGAGGGAGAACTGAGAGACATGCAAGGAGGACTGAGAGGTGTGGAGGGAGAACTGAGATACGTACAGGGAGGACTGAAAGACATGGAGGGGTTTATGAGAGGGACATGAAGGTGGACTAAGAGACATGTAGGGAGGTCTGAGAGACATAGAGGTAGGACTGAGAGATGTGGAGGGAGAACTTAAAGACATGGAGGGGTATATGATAGGGATATGGAGGTGGACTGAGAGACATGGAGGGAGGACTGCGAAACATGCAGCGATAACTCAAAGACATGCTTGGTGGACTGAGAGACATGGAGGGAGGACTAAGATACATGGAGGGAGGACTGAGAGACATGGAGGGAGGACTAAGATACATGGAGGGAGGACTGAGAGACATGGAGGGAGGACTGAGAGACATGGAGGGGTATATGAGAGGGACAACGAGGTGGACTGGGAGACATGCAGGGAGAACTCAGAGACATGCAGTGAGGACTAAGAGACATGGAAGAAGGACTGAGAGACGTGGAGGAAGGACTGAGAGACATGGAGTGAGAACTGAGGGACATGGAGGGAGGACTGAGAAACATGGAGGGAGGACTGAGAGACATGGAAGGAGGGCTGAAAGACATGGAGGGGTATATGAGAGGGACATGGAGTTGGACTGAGAGATATGGAGGGAGGACTGAGAGACATGCAGGGAGAACTCAGAGACATGCAGGGAGGACTGAGAGACGTTGAGCGGATAATAGAAATATACAAAGGGAATAACCAAGAGACATAGAAGGGGTATATGAGAGGAAAGAGTAGAGTAGGGGTATGGATGGGTATATGAGAGGGAAAGAATAGAGATATGCAGGTGGAATCCTATAGATTAGTATTAAGTTGCACATTTTTTTCGGAATTTTTTGAAAGCACACCAAAAGTCCCACAAGCTGCATCTTTGGTGCACTTTCAGAAAACATGGTGTGGTGTCACCATGTTTTACCACACCAGGTGACACCAATCCTAGACGCTATTGATCCTACAAAATTCCTGACTTTGTGCACCTGCACAAAGTGTGAAGTGATAGAATTGATACTGGTTCAAAGCCAAAGAATAGTCACACCAAATACTGGTTTGATTTACATTTTTCTTCTGTTAGCTCACTTTGCGTTTCGTATATTGATACAAATAAACATTTAAAATATATATTTTTAAGGCATTCTTACTGTACCTCATTTCTTCACACCGACCTAACTTGCACAGCACTGGATACATTCATTATGTGATCAAGATTTGTGAGTGATTTTTTAAAGCAATTTTCATGGAACTTAGTCAGAATGTGTATAATTATAAAATGCAAGGAAACCCACAATATTAATACTAGTAAAATAATCATTACGGAAGGTAACCATCCATAATAGGCATGCATGCACACAGAAGTAATTTTAGTACAGTCAATTCATCATCTCCTCATAAAGCTATAAATCAAGGATAGATTTAGTGACAACTCATATAGGATGAATTCACATTATTATTTCAATAATTCATTTCTGACAAGCCATGATGTACTGTACTTTGAGCTACTTTGGTTTTCAGTACGCTGGGACTGCTCTACTTTCCCCCTATCATTCAGTAACAATTTTTGTTTTCTAAATGTAGGAACATTTATCCTATTTTATTTTTTTGTATATTTTGCACTTGCATGCATTGCTTTCCTCACTCCCAATTAGAAGGGTGTAGTTCCTTGGATTTACCCTAAAAGGTATGGGGGTGGGGGGCATGTGGCCTTACGGTCAGGTCCCTCCCCCTTCCTCCCTTCACCACACTGAACATGGAACAAAAAAAAAAAGAGGAGAGATTTGTTTGAAAAGATAAGAAAGACAACCATAGATCAGAAAGTCAAAATAAAGGCTATACCCCAAGTAGTATGATGATCTGATAACTATAGAACATTATTAAGTGTAAGGTTCATGGGAGCGTAGTCAACCTCACTGGAGGTGGCCACAAAAGGGAAACAGACCCCAGATTGAACAGAAGGATAGTGCAGATAGTAAATTAAGAGCCAAGGAAAATTTCCAAAGAGATACTTCAAGGTCCATGTACATCAGTGTCTAATTGCATGATCCATAATTTTTTTTGAGTGACAGTGGGCTCAAAGAAAGAAGGAGAACATTAAAAAGTCAGACTGTAATTTGTTAAAATGCATATTGACAGGCTGCAGCACTTGGGAGAATATTCTGTGGACAGGACTGGAGCTTTTTGGCATGTCACATTAAAAAAAAAAAAAAGCTTTCAAAGAAAAGAAACATAACAACTTCAAAACATGGAGGAGGTTCAATTATGTTTTGGGGCTGATTGGTGGAATCTTGTAGAGAATGTCTTGAATTTGTGCAGGGCACAAAAGAATCCCAAGCCTGTAAATTAATTCTGGACTGAGCTATACTGCTCTGTGTCTAAAAGCTCTTTCTCAGTTGCAGCTCATGGGTCCTTGAATAGGAAAATGACTCAAAATACATACTGCAGCTAAAAACACCCAAGAATAGATAAGGTCAAAGCATTGGTGTTCAGATTTGAATCCTATTAAACTTCTAAAGTAAGTATTGAATCATGCAGCCTGATGAAGGTACCCTTAAAGCCTGAGACATCTGGGGCAGTTTGTTCAAGAAGAGTTGGTCAAACTAATTGTTGGCAGGTGCAGAAATCTCATTGGGATCTACAGAAATCACTTGTTTGTAGAGATTGTCTCTAAAGGTTGTGCAACAAAATATTTGGATAAGGGTTCCATCATTTTTGACCATGCCATTTTCATTTGTTTTAATTTAAAGAATATTCTGTTGGATCACAAATTAAAAACAATTTCTGATTTTTATTAAATATGGATTCAACAATAATGGATAACTTTGGTTACGTCAGAGAAAACTGTGGCTTCTCCTGTTTTTTATGGATGAATACAAACAAATATGTGCACATTTGTATTATTGTTATGCTGCTAAAAAAAAAAGGTTTAAATGTGGTATGCTTTGATCCTTTATGACCTTGGTCATATTAAAATGGTGTTCTTTATGAGAATCTTTGCTGGCTGTTTATTATCTGGCACTGGACTGGTGATGACATTGTTTGATGGTTATTATTTGGCATATCAATAATGTTAGCACTTCTTACTCTTATTAAGAGGTGGCCATAATTGTGTCCTATGAGAAATAAACAGTGATTTAGGAGTAAATTGATTCAGTTCTGGCTCACTGCATCCAGTGGAGCTGCATTTTTGCTGTTAGGTAAATTTAGCTTGTCTCACTGTACTCAGTGTAGCTGAAATTCTGGGTTAGGCAAATTTAGTTCTAGCTCACTGTAGTGTGTGCAGCTGCATGTCATTTTTAAGGGTTTGCGCTGTGTCTCACAGGCTGCAGATTTAATTGCTATCACTCTGCATCTTTAGAGCTACCTGGACAATTCTGGAACATAGGTGTGATTGGGTATAATGTAAATGGGCAGCCAATCTTTATGAGCCCTGCACAGGTGGCTGCTGGAAAAGGGGTATAAATAGTATGCAATCTTGAGCTTGCTTGTCTTGTCCTTGAGAAGAGGAGTCCAGCCTAGAGGGCTTGAGCCATGTGCTTGCCTGGCCACAGATTGGATAGCTGAGAGGCCTGGAATCTGGCTGATCTTGTTGGATCTGATCTGGGTCAGCTGGTAGAGGGGTCTGGAAAACATAGGAAGGAGGCATCCATTTGTCTGAAGACATTCAACATTTGTGAGTACAGACTGTATGTTGCTGCCTTAGGAGACTGGACAAAAGCTGAAAGCTGCAGCCCCATATAACCTACTCCTATCCCCAGCCTGCTTCAGTTTTGTAGCAAGAAATAGTAGACATGGATCATAAGAAAAACAAAGTTAAGGAATGAGTATCCTATAATGTAATCCAAGAAAAAGATTTTATGGAAAATATGGGATACAGGATGAACATTCAGGTACATAGTTATTAGAGATGAGCGAAGTATTCAAAAATTCGATTCGGCTGATTCGGCGAATTCGATGAATAAATTTGATTCGATGCGAATATATTCGCTGCGAATTTAACTTATAAAAAGGGTGTTTCTAGGCTTCAGAGAGCCTTTATATTAGTGCAGAACACTGTACCCTTAATTTAAATGCCCTTGGAGTCTGCTGGGGAAGAGAAATAATACTGTCAGTCAGTATGACATGCAGATGAGTGCCGTCGATCTTAGAATCACCGCACACTTCACTCATTTGGGCAGTCATGGGGCCAAAACCAGAGTGTGGAGCCACAGTGTGGGCGGTGGAGGCAGCAGCAATGGGAGGCCATACAGCACCCCTATGACAAAATGGAACCCACCAGCAGTGTGAGGAGACCTGAAAGTGGCACATGGCAGAGTGTGGCGATGGAGACAGCAGCAATGGGAGGCCGTACAGGGACCCATGACACACTCTGGACCTGGCAGCAGCATGAGGAGGCGGAACAGGGGCCCATGACAGATTACGGGCCTGGCAGCAGCACGAGGAGTCGGTACGGGGGCCCATGGCAGATTAGGGGCCTGGCAGCAGCAATGGGAGGCCCGTAATCTGCCAGTACCCTATGACAAAATGGAACCCACCAGCAGTGTGAGGAGACCTGAAAGTGGCACATGGCAGAGTGTGGCGATGGAGACAGCAGCAATGGGAGGCCGTACAGGGACCCATGAGAGACTCTGGACCTGGCAGCAGCATGAGGAGGCGGTACAGGGGCCCATGACAGATTACGGGCCTGGCAGCAGCAATGGGAGGCCCGTAATCTGCCAGCACCCAATGACAAAATGAACCCACCAGCAGTGTGAGGAGACCTGAAAGTGGCACATGGCAGAGTGTGGCGATGGAGACAGCAGCAATGGGAGGCCGTACAGGGACCCATGAGAGACTCTGGACCTGGCAGCAGCATGAGGAGGTGGTACAGGGGCCCATGACAGATTACGGGTCTGGCAGCAGCAATGGGAGGCCCGTAATCTGCCAGCACCCTATGACAAAATGGAACACACCAGCAGTGTGAGGAGACCTGAAAGTGGCACATGGCAGAGTGTGGCGATGGAGACAGCAGCAATGGGAGGCCGTACAGGGACCCATGAGAGACTCTGGACCTGGCAGCAGCATGAGGAGGCGGTACAGGGGCCCATGACAGATTACGGGTCTGGCAGCAGCAATGGGAGGCCCGTAATCTGCCAGCACCCTATGACAAAATGGAACACACCAGCAGTGTGAGGAGACCTGAAAGTGGCACATGGCAGAGTGTGGGCGACGGAGACAGCAGCAATGGGAGGCCGTACAGGGACCCATGAGACACTGTGGACCTGGCAGCAGCATGAGGAGGCGGTACAGGGGCCCATGGCAGATTACGGGCCTGGCAGCAGCAATGGGAGGCCCGTAATCTGCCAGCACCCTATGACAAAATGGAACCCACCAGCAGTGTGAGGAGACCTGAAAGTGGCACATGGCAGAGTGTGGCAACGGAGACAGCAGCACAATGGGAGGCCGTACAGGGACCCATGAGAGACTCTGGACCTGGCAGCAGCATGAGGAGGCGGTACAGGGGCCCATGACAGATTACGGGTCTGGCAGCAGCAATGGGAGGCCCGTAATCTGCCAGCACCCTATGACAAAATGGAACACACCAGCAGTGTGAGGAGACCTGAAAGTGGCACATGGCAGAGTGTGGCGATGGAGACAGCAGCAATGGGAGGCCGTACAGGGACCCATGAGAGACTCTGGACCTGGCAGCAGCATGAGGAGGCGGTACAGGGGCCCATGACAGATTACGGGTCTGGCAGCAGCAATGGGAGGCCCGTAATCTGCCAGCACCCTATGACAAAATGGAACACACCAGCAGTGTGAGGAGACCTGAAAGTGGCACATGGCAGAGTGTGGCGATGGAGACAGCAGCAATGGGAGGCCGTACAGGGACCCATGAGAGACTCTGGACCTGGCAGCAGCATGAGGAGGCGGTACAGGGGCCCATGACAGATTACGGGTCTGGCAGCAGCAATGGGAGGCCCGTAATCTGCCAGCACCCTATGACAAAATGGAACCCACCAGCAGTGTGAGGAGACCTGAAAGTGGCACATGGCAGAGTGTGGCGATGGAGACAGCAGCAATGGGAGGCCGTACAGGGACCCATGAGACACTCTGGACCTGGCAGCAGCATGAGGAGGCGGTACGGGGGCCCATGGCAGATTACGGGCCTGGCAGCAGCAATGGGAGGCCCGTAATCTGCCAGCACCCTATGACAAAATGGAACCCACCAGCAGTGTGAGGAGACCTGAAAGTGGCACATGGCAGAGTGTGGCGATGGAGACAGCAGCAATGGGAGGCCGTACAGGGACCCATGAGAGACTCTGGACCTGGCAGCAGCATGAGGAGGCGGTACAGGGGCCCATGACAGATTAGGGGTCTGGCAGCAGCAATGGGAGGCCCGTAATCTGCCAGCACCCTATGACAAAATGGAACACACCAGCAGTGTGAGGAGACCTGAAAGTGGCACATGGCAGAGTGTGGCGATGGAGACATGGGCCCCCTGGCCACGCTTGACTTTCTGGCCACATAGTCAACATACGGCTACGTTTACTTCCTCGGGCGGCTTGACGAAAAAATTGCCACACCGCCGAGTACGAAACTTTGCCCCCGCTACTCCTCACTGGCTGACTGCTACTTCCTCCGTGCACACCGACACCACTACTGGCCGTGGTGGTAGGCTGCAGTGGAGCTGGTGCTCTACTCCGTGGCCGTTTGCCTCCACTGACACTGCTGCGACCCTGCTGCCTCCTGGGCAACCCACCGACTGTTTTGCTCGCTGCCAAGCTGGCACCCTCTTCTCCTGATGATGCGGAAGCAATAGCCTGATGACGACGAGGCTGCCAAGTGCGATCAGCCTCATCATCATCAATTAGGGTCTCCGCCTCACTACTAGCCCCCTCGGCTGCGTGTGGGGTCAGGAGACAGACCTGTCTCTAGACCGGCTACCGAGCCACTCTCCTCGCCAGTACTTCTTCGCCTGGCTGCTGAAGAGGCGGATGTCTCCCCCCGTTCCTGACCGCCCTCTGTTAGCTCTTCCTCACTGTACAGTGGGGCTGAGCCCACAGCATGCGATACTTCGCTTGGTGAGGGAACACCAAAGGACAGGGGCAGGTCGAGGACACGTGATTTCAGTGGGCTTGCTCCCGGGCCATGCCAACTAACGGTTGTGTCTGACGTACCCACCGACCGTTGGCTGTAGGTGTCAGAGGTGACCTGGGAAGAGGAAGACGACCGAGCCAACCAATCGATGACGGCAGGGTTGTCGGTGGAGACACGACCGCTGGATGACACCGGGAGCACTGGCCTCTGGCTGCGACTAGTGCTGCCTCGACCCCTTCCTCTGCTGCCACGTCTGCTCGCTCCTAAAACATGGCCTCCTCTGACACTCCTCTGCGTGTTGTCTGACATACTCTTTAATTCAACGATTCTGTGTCCCTGAGTAACGATTCTGTGTCCCTGAGTAACAGTTCTGTGTCCCTCAGTAACAATTCTGTGTCCCTCAGTAACAATTCTGTGTCTGTCCCTGAGTAACAATTCTGTGTCCCTCAGTAACAATTCTGTGTCCCTCAGTAACAATTCTGTGTCCCTCAGTAACAATTCTGTGTCCCTCAGTAACAATTCTGTGTCTGTCCCTGAGTAACAATTCTGTGTCCCTCAGTAACAATTCTGTGTCCCTCAGTAACAATTCTGTGTCCCTCAGTAACAATTCTGTGTCTGTCCCTCAGTAACAATTCTGTGTCCCTCAGTAACAATTCTGTGTCCTTCAGTAACAATTCTGTGTCCCTCAGTAACAATTCTGTGTCTGTCCCTGAGTAAACAATTCTGTGTCCCTGAGTAACAGTTCTGTGTCCCTGAGTAACAATTCTGTGTCCCTAAGTAACAGTTCTGTGTCCCTGAGTAACAATTCTGTGTCCCTGAGTAACAATTCTGTGTCCCTGAGTAACAATTCTGTGTCCCTCAGTAACAATTCTGTGTCCCTCAGTAACAATTCTGTGTCTGTCCCTGAGTAACAATTCTGTGTCCCTCAGTAAAAATTCTGTGTCCCTCAGTAACAATTCTGTGTCCCTCAGTAACAATTCTGTGTCCCTCAGTAACAATTCTGTGTCTGTCCCTGAGTAACAATTCTGTGTCCCTCAGTAACAATTCTGTGTCCCTCAGTAACAATTCTGTGTCCCTCAGTAACAATTCTGTGTCTGTCCCTGAGTAACAATTCTGTGTCCCTGAGTAACAGTTCTGTGTCCCTGAGTAACAATTCTGTGTCCCTGAGTAACAGTTCTGTGTCCCTCCTGAGTAACAATTCTGTGTCCCTGAGTAACAATTCTGTGTCCCTGAGTAACAATTCTGTGTCCCTGAGTAACAATTTCTGTGTCCCTCAGTAACAATTCTGTGTCCCTGAGTAACAGTTCTGTGTCCCTGTGTCCCTGAGTAACAATTCTGTGTCCCTGAGTAACAATTCTGTGTCCCTGTAACAATTCTGTGTCCCTGAGTAACAATTCTGTGTCCCTGAGTAACAATTCTGTGTCCCTCCGTAACAATTCTGTGTCCCTCAGTAACAATTCTGTGTCCCTGTAACAATTCTGTGTCTGAGTAACCTGTGAATTCTGTGTCCCTGAGTAACAATTCTGTGTCCCTGAGTAACAATTCTGTGTCCCTGAGTAACAGTTCTGTGTCCCTGAGTAACAATTCTGTGTCCCTGAGTAACAATTCTGTGTCCCCTGAGTAACAATTCTGTGTCCCTCAGTAACAATTCTGTGTCCCTCAGTAACAATTCTGTGTCCCTGAGTAACAATTCTGTGTCTGTCCCTGAGTAACAATTCTGTGTCCCTCAGTAACAATTCTGTGTCCCTCAGTAACAATTCTGTGTCTGTCCCTGAGTAACAATTCTGTGTCCCTGAGTAACAGTTCTGTGTCCCTGAGTAACAATTCTGTGTCCCTGAGTAACAATGTCTGTCCCTGAGTAACAATTCTGTGTCCCTGAGTAACAATTCTGTGTCCCTCAGTAACAAATTCTGTGTCCCTGAGTAACAATTCTGTGTCCCTCAGTAACAATTCTGTGTCTGTCCCTGAGTAACAATTCTGTGTCCCTCAGTAACAATTCTGTGTCCCTCAGTAACAATTCTGTGTCCCTCAGTAACAATTCTGTGTCCCTCAGTAACAATTCTGTGTGTCCCTGAGTAACAATTCTGTGTCCCTGAGTAACAATTCTGTGTCCCTGAGTAACAATTCTGTGTCCCTGTGTAACAATTCTGTGTCCCTCAGTAACAATTCTGTGTCCCTCAGTAACAATTCTGTGTCCCTCAGTAACAATTCTGTGTCTGTCCTGAGTAACAATTCTGTGTCCCTCAGTAACAATTCTGTGTCCCTCAGTAACAATTCTGTGTCCCTCAGTAACAATTCTGTGTCTGTCCCTGAGTAACAATTCTGTGTCCCTCAGTAACAATTCTGTGTCCCTCAGTAACAATTCTGTGTCCCTCAGTAAACAATTCTGTGTCTGTCCCTGAGTAACAATTCTGTGTCCCTCAGTAACAATTCTGTGTCCCTCAGTAACAATTCTGTGTCTGTCCCTGAGTAACAATTCTGTGTCCCTGAGTAACAGTTCTGTGTCCCTGAGTAACAGTTCTCTGTCCCTAAGTAACAGTTCTGTGTCCCTGAGTAACAATTCTGTGTCCCTGAGTAACAGTTCTGTGTC